ACGACGCACCTGGTTGTTGCCTCTCTTTGTGTACTCGGTGCATTCCAGGGGTTAAAAGCGGGGAAGTAACCGTAGGATGGGGATCAGGGTTAAGCTTATTGATTGAATTATCATTAGGAGGTTAGTGGATGATTTATTGGTGGGCAGAGGGGGGTGGAGGGAAAGGAAGGGAAGGGTGGGAGGAAAGGTTAGGGGCTCCGGGTGCAGGGGGGCCGCGGCGATTCCCCAGGTAGGCCTTATGAAAGGTAGCTAGTTAAAAAGCGTATACAGCAAATTAAATACATTATTGTGGTAATGGGGCGACAGAAGTATAGGTCCATTATCCTTATGGCAGTTATAGGAAATGTAGGCAGCTTGCCCTGCTCCAGAACACCCTTTGATATTCATTCTATTCAGCAGCGGGGCCAGGACTCCTCAGAATTAAGTGATGGGTCATTATACTTTAAACACCATGGAGAAGCCTAGATTGGCAATTAAACAGCTCTTGCTGACACTCACTTGTGCCACCCTGTGACCCCCTTTAGATTGAGATGTTGGAGCTCCGGGCCCTCAGCCTGCTAAATTGGCACAAGGCTCTTCTCCTGACGAGCGCGGGCTCTGCAATCCGCCGACTTCAAAGGGAGCGAGATCATGTATAAACCATAATGTGGGTGCACCGTGGCTCACAAAAAATAAGGCAGGAAGAGATGAAATGTTACAAGTGCAAGGGGGAAAATGAGAGAATAATGACAAACCTAATGCAACTCAGAGCCGGATTGTTGCACAGGAAAATGCATCCCACTGCTTGTGCATAAAATCAAGGCCGGCAGATGACACCCAGTTAACAGAAACGTGTCAACAGTGAAGTAAAGTGAGAGTGAGTACGAGAGAGGCCCCTGAGACAGCCAGGAACAAAAATTAGTTGTCCTTAACAAGTTAAGATTCTGGCTCAGAGCCACAAAAGCAGACGGGGGCATATAATGAGCTGCTTAGAATTTTTAGGGTGTTTATTGCATTTCATGAAACAGTTGTCTGTAGAAAGGAATTTCTTATGGAAGGTATGCATGTAGCGCCCCACTCCACACACACACACACACACACACACACACACACACACACACTCTGTCTTGTCTCTGCTATACATTTTTCAGGTGGATGAGCATGTGTATAGCTATGTGAACTTGGCAGTATTTGTTTCTCATGGCTGCTCTGGAAATTTTTCTCCCTGTGGTACTCAAACTGTGGTGTCTCTCTATGATATTTGGTGCGCACACACGTGTTTTTATCTTGCTCCCTCCTCTCTCTCTCTCTCTCTCATCTGTACATATATTCTCATGCAGCAGGAAGGGAACCTATGTATTTGAGGAACGTCAAGCCTTTAACATTCATGGTGAAAGCTGCCACTCCCCACCCCTTCACCCAAGGCTTCCAGGAACACATATTCTTCGCTTAGGTGTGCTCAGAGGTCTGCAGGCCTTGGGAAGGCATGTGTCCTGGTGGGCAGCCCAAGTGCCCCCTAGGGGTTCGCTTCCCATTTTTTTCCAGGGGAAGGAAATGAAGTTGGTTTTCCCTTTTTCTCATGGTCAGTGGTATTCATTCTCTCTCATAGGGTGTTTCTTTCCTTTTCTTTCTTACTCTGTTTTGTAAGTCATGGCATTCACACCAAACTTTGACACGTTAATAAAGGCTGCGGGAGAGGGCCATGGTGGGTTGGAATTTCTGAGTCGAGTGTCCACTGTGACTCTGGGCCCCTGCATTTTCTCTGTTGATCTGTGCAGATGGTTAGTACTTGAATTTTTCATCATTTTTCAACTTACCAGTTGTTACATTATTTTGTTTAAGTGAAAACTGTTTTCCACAATCTACCTGTGGAAAGAACCTTGTGAATAAACATAGGGTCCTTTTGAAAAGCTGTCACGGGAAACCCTCATTAGCACCTCCCACCAGAATTGGCTTCCTAAAGAGTTGGCTGTCTGTCATCCATTGCATGGCGCGTGGGACTGCTATGCTTGGGACTTATTAAGAAAGCCACAGGGGCTTGATCCGGGTTCCTCTTCGCCTGAACAGTGCCCCCCTCTGCTCACTGCATAGCCATGGCAGCTAGGAGCCCGAACCTGCCATTTTGTTTTCTTTGGGGTTCCTACCCCCTTTGCCCCTTGCCCTACTTCCCTCTCCAGTAGGACGCAGCAGGTCCTCAAAGAACATCTTTTCCTTAAGTGCCATGGTGCTGTCACATTGATGAGATGCCATGGCAACCTCACCCTTGTTGATATCACTTAGCCTGTGCCAAAACCGGTTTGGTTATATGTTGTTTTGCTTAAAGTCTCAGAAACTATGGGTGACTTTGCGGACTGACCATATGTTCCTTTAGGAGGGGTGGTTCTTGTGACCTAATAGAAATCATGGCAACTCCAGCATGCCAGGACATGTGACAGCTGTTTGTCCGATCCGCGTGTCAGCTTGCAGATGGGCCAAGAGTATTTTGAAATCAGCCCTTGGTCTGGCGGGTCTGCATGGTTGGGGAATGCCATTTTAGGGCGTAAACAGTGTTTCAAAGGACTTTCCTAGAAATAAGCTGCATCAGAAGAGACGACACACACTTCATTGTCCTTATTTCCGCTTTTGGTAACCATTTAGAAGGTTAATGCATAGGTGTGTATAGCATAGGTGATATATTAAGTCAAAGTAATTTAGGAATCCCAGAATTTTAGAGCAGGAAAGGGTATAAAGATCAGAACTCAAAGCTCTGTGGGTGCGTGTTACAGAGTGCTTCTTTTTTGTTTTTTTGCATCTTTCCATAAGCCGATACAAACTTATTTAAGATGTCTGTGACTTCTGATGAGAACCAAATGGGAAATATTTGGATTTTCTCCATCTTTCTGCCTCACTGTCTCCCATTCCTGTCAAAACGATGGGGCACAGCAGCAAAAGCAAAACAAAAATTGTATTACACTCCCATCAACAGAATGAGGCCTAATGAGGCCCACGCAGCCCTGTCAGAAATGTGTGTACACGTCAGCCGCATTAATATTTTATTCGGCTGTCAATATACAACAAAAGCCTTCCCCTCTCATCTGGCGCCGATTAGGGCTTAGGAAATTGTCTTCTTAGATAGATGCCACTGGTAACACCTCAAAACACGTGGGCGTGTGATCTCCAACAGGTCGCCCGGGCCTCCTCTGCCACCCAAGTACATCAGTTAAATTTGTCTTTTGCGGAAGATGTTGGAAATCATAACGTCTTGTGTCAGTAAGCGTAATGAAGGGGAAGACTGGCTTTAATGACATTATGAGAGTCATTATGTTTAATTTATCGCTAATTAATGCTGACAGGTTTCATATGCCGTGGGTTGCTTTCATGTGAGTGTTACGTGCTTTTTTGTTTTAGTGTATTGTGTGTGCACATCCCTCCTCATTCATTCATTTTGATTCTGACGATTTACACAGCTTTCTGTCTTCTAGGTTCCCTCCCCACATGGTCCCACCACATCACACTCTCCACACGACCGGCATCCCCCACCCGGCCATCGTCACGCCAACAGTCAAGCAGGAATCCTCCCAGAGTGACGTCGGCTCACTCCACAGCTCGTAAGTGTCGTTTTTTTTTTCCTTTTTAATATGTTTTTATTGATTTCAGAGAGGAAGGGAGAGGGAGAGAAAGAAACGGCAATGATGAGAGAGAATCACTGATTGGCTGCCTCCTGCACGCCCCACACTGGGGATCAAGCCCACAACCCTGGAATGTGCCCTTGACCAGAATTAAACCCGGGACCCCTTCAGTCTGCAGGTCGACACTCTACCCATTGAGCCAGACCAGCTAGGACAGTGTCACTCTTCATTGTGTTTAGCCTATGGTGGCTCCTGGCTGGTGGCCGTGGCTGGTGGCCCTGGCCAAGGCGGTTGTGCTGCATGTGATCCCAGCAGACACCCAGTTGCTGTGGGCTCCGGACCCTCACAGGAGGACGGGGTCAAGAGAACTACTTTTATGTTCTTGGCTGGACTGGGATTTGCAACCATGTCCCTGTCCCTCCCCGTATCCCTGAACCTTCGGAACTCTGTCCTTTGAGCAGGCGCCGCCACCAAGGTGCAGGCGGCCACAGGTGCCGTCCCCTCAGCCTGGGAAAATTGTGTGCTTGTGACACTTGAGGAACTGATTACAAAACCTCTGTGTTCCCCCAGCCCCTCCCCAGGCCGTTTCTGTTCCATTGGCCAGGCTCGGGGAGACCAAACGTGGAAGCGAGCTTTTCATTCAAAGCTGCTGGGTGTGGGCGCCGGGGAACCATGGAAATGGGCCCTGTGCCGCGTGGGAGAGGGGTTGGTCCTCGTGGTTGTTCACAGGGTTGTGTCTGTGTGTTCTGCCCGCATCCAGAAAGCATCAGGACTCCAAAAAGGAGGAGGAAAAGAAGAAGCCCCACATAAAGAAACCTCTCAACGCGTTCATGTTGTATATGAAGGAAATGAGAGCGAAGGTCGTCGCCGAGTGCACGTTGAAAGAGAGCGCGGCCATCAACCAGATCCTGGGGCGAAGGGTAGGTGGCTGCCTCATGGGGGGGAAGAGGGGAGAGGGGACTAGGACGTAGCAGGTGGGGTGGCAAGGTGTCCCCATCCCCGTTTGTTTTCCTTCGGCCACGCTGGCAGGCCAGTCACTCTGGACTCCGACAGCCACAGCCATGACCCTCCCCCACCCCCAGAGAGGGCAGGGGATGGCGTGGCAGAGGCGCCAACCTGTGCTTTGTCTGAGCACCCCTGTTGGTGCCCAGCCCCGCAGACCATCTGCAGGTTGTACGGCTCCGGATGGACTTATCCAAAAAAGAAGCCGCCTTCCCCCCTCGCCGCAGTGTAGTTGGTGACTTCCGCATGTCTCTCTCTGTCTCTCTCCCCCCCATGTCCCCTCCAGTGGCACGCGTTATCGAGAGAGGAGCAAGCAAAATACTACGAGCTGGCGCGGAAGGAGCGGCAGCTCCACATGCAGCTGTACCCCGGCTGGTCCGCACGGGATAACTACGTAGGTGGATCCTTTTTCTCGGGACTGGTCTGCAGGCGGGTGCCGGATGTCCTCGGGGACAAAGGGGATGTCAGCTTGATTCCCTCTGCCCTCTGCGGGGACTGGGGGACCGTTAGCACCTCGTCCGAGCACCAGGCTCGGAGGGTCTGGTCTGGGCCTCCGGTTTGGCCCTGGCAGCATTCAGGGAGGAGGGACGGGGCTTCTCAGCACTGGTCCCTGGGCGGCCTGCCAGGGAAGAGGGTGGAGGGGCGGAGGGAGAGAGTAGTTCCTCACAGATCTTCCAGCAGCAGGCCCTCCATAAGAGGGAAAATGGAAACAATTGTCTGTGGTGCAGTAGAAGCTGGGAGCCTCGTTCATCCTGAGGGGCATGATGGGAATATCCCTGAAAGAGCTGGTAGAAGTCATCCTTTGGCAGGGACCCAGCAAGGGCGGGCCAAGGGGTGTGTCTTGTGAGCTCTGTGTTCCTGGACTCTGTCAGCTGCAAGGTTTGCCTAATTTCCTCTCCTGGATTTTAGAGAACACTGTCAGGTGGTTTGTTTTACTAATTGCAGTGGTAATGACACTCATGACTCTTCTTCCCTGAACGCTGTCCTCTGGGACCCCTGTCACCTCTCACCATTCTTTTTTATTCTCCATGTTGCCCATTAGCTCAAGTTCTGGGCTCTCTCCCCTCTGGATGGATGAAATGACTCTTCTTTTGCCTGGTGCCTCAGTACAGAGCACGGGGTTACGTGAAGTGATTTTGTCATCCACTGTTGGGGGCAGTGGGACAGAACTTGTCCTAATGCAGCCACAGGCTCCTCGTCCTGTTCCTTGTTAGGACCTCAGAGCCATGGGTGACTTTCTGCCCGTCGGTGCTCCTGCCCTCACTCTCCATGGGCATCGTCCGTGGCGAAGGGCTCTCTCCGGATGCAGGTTGGGATCCACTCCGTCATTGCTGATCGCAGACTTACTGTGCACGTGGTGTGCTGGGGATTCTGAGCTAAATCAGACCTATTTACTGGCTCAGAACTTGGCCGCCTCAGCAGGTCATCCGGTCCACGGGAGCGTGAGTCCTGAGGGAAGGCCGAGTGCTCTGAGCAGCATTTTCCGGCTTCCTCCCCCTTTATGCTGATCCCTTCACACACGTGCTTGCCAGGCTGCTCTTGGCAGTGTGGATGAGGGGGAATGGAGAACCGAGACCTTTGGGCTGGGCTCCCAAGTGGTCATCACCCCCACACCCATCTTCCTCCAGGCCCAGCCCCCTGAGCTGGCAGCATTAGGCTGTATTCCTCCTGGGAGGTGGAACTGGAACTAGTCCGAGCACCTCTCCATGGCTCAGCGACTCTGCTCAGAGCCCTTGTCACTCACAGATGGTCACGCCCAGGACCTGAACTGCTTGGGGGCTTTGCACGTGTCCTCGGCATGTGTGTGGTGGAGAGGCCGTTCTTCTGGGGCTGGGAGGAAGAGCATGAGAATGTTCCGGCTCCCACAGGCTCGCTGCCCCCCACCCCCACCCCCACCCCCTGACCTCGAGGTGGAGCTCTCCAGCACTAGGCAGGCCCTGCAGCCTCCGCTGGTGCCCACACAGCCGTCCATGTCAGGACAGCTGCTTCCCTGGTTTCGGGTCAGAAGTCCTTAGAGGTGAGTTCCAGCTTCTCCCTGCTCCAGACCCAGTCCTCTGAGTAACCTAGAACGGTGCCCCAGGAGGAATCCCTATCCCAGCAGGCATGTGGTGGTTAGGAGGGCCTTCCTGTGTAGCTGTGCAGAGTGTGCACTGCACCCCGAGCGTGTTGTTTACTTTGGGGGCTAGTGCACAGCGCCGGGGAACCTCCCCACAGGGACAGGCTGGCTGAAAGCCTCCAAACTCCGCTGCCCTTGCTGACTGGGGCAGAGTAGGTGTCGCCCGAGGCTTTTTCAGACGTGCTTTCGAGGTTTCAGCAGAGGCGCTTGAGGTGACTTCAGCCCCGTGTTACTTTTGGAAGGGGTTGGAGGGGTCTGGTGTAGGAGGGGATCCCCTGGTAAGACTTGAAAGTGAGAGGAAGACCTGGATCTGGAGCTGTAGGAGTTTCCTCTCTTGTGAGCAGTGCTGTCAGATGCCTGTCACCATGGCACAGTACTCATGGGTGTGAATGCATCCCCCCACCCTTCCCCTTCCCTCCATCTCTCCTGCTTCCCCCCCTCCCCCCTCTCTCCCTCCCTCCCTCCGTCCTTCCCTCCTCCCCTCTCTTCCCCTTTCCTCCATCTCTCCCTGCTTCTCCCTCCCCCTTCTCTCCCTTCCTCCTTCCTTCCTTCCCTCCCTCCCTCCCTCCCCAGCCCCCCTCCAGTTATAAGCTACTCTGTTCGATGACTTTACTGAAATTAAATAAAAATGCTCCCGTTCACATGGTGGCTGCCTTCTGTCCATACCCCCAGGAAACGGCCTGTGGAGCAAGGATCAAAACTTCAAGCTTTTATGAATTTGATCGTGGTGTCATGTTAGTATTTTTTTTAACTGACCTGACCTAGAGGTTTATAGAACTTTGTGGTCATTATAAAGTCCAGAAGGTTCCTCAGGAAGGTTTTCTGTGCCTCTCACGTTCCTACCTCTCCAGCCGAGCGGTGCCGGAGCCTTCCAGCCGCCAGCGCAGCCGAGTAGAAGTGAGGGAGTCCCGTGGGGTGTGGGGTGTGGGGTGTGGCACCGTCTGGAGCACAGAAAACAGCCCTTCCCCAGTGACGTGGACCCTGGCCGGGTAATAGCACACGATTCCCTTTCTAGCTCTTCTAGGTCAGGCAGGGAGAGAGCCTAGGCCAGTGGTCAGCAAACTCATCAGTCAACAGAGCCAAATATCAACAACAGTACAACAATTGAAATTTCCTTTAGAGCCAAATTTTTTAAACTTAAGCTATATAGGTAGGTACATTGTCCTTAACTTAATTAGGGTACTCCTAAGCTGGCCTTTGCTAAAAACGTCTTGTCTGATTGAGGTACGTTCGCTAAGGTCGACCCCTTCCAACTCTCCCATCCACACTCGTGAGTTTCAATCTCCCTGTACGTGCGCACCCGCAGGTGGTATTTTGTGGAAGAGCCACACTCAAGGGGCCAAAGAGCCGCAGGTGGCTTGCGAGCCGCGCTTTGCCGACCACTGGCCTAGGCCGTGTGCTCGTCTGGCATTTCTTCCCCCTCACCACCATCTTTTAGGCCCTAAAAAAAAAAAAATGATGGGGGTATCGGCCTCCCTTGAGACGCAACTCCCTCTTCACTAAATAGTGTTCATTCATTTCTTCACGCCCTTCCTTTAGAAGTCTTTAGTCTGAATGGCTGTTTCCTCAGTCGTGGACAGCTTCCCATGGGCAGTGGCATGTTCAGCTGCCTCTTAGAATAGCTTGTGAGAGATCGGAAATGGGGGGTGGGGGGAGGCATCATATTAAAGATGACTGGGGAGCCCTGGGGCCTGTGCTGCGGCCACTGCCCAGCCCAGGCTCCTAACTGAACTGAACTCCTGCCTATCCCAAGGTGGCCAGGTGGCACTTGGCTCCTTACGTAGGACAGGCACACGGTGAAGACGGCGTCTGAGGCCCAAGAAGGCCCACAAACCCCTTCCTCCTCCCTCTCCTCCCTTCTTTCCATCCTCCCTCCCTCCCTCCCTCCCTGCCTTTCTTCTCCCCTCCCTCTCTTCCATTGTATGTCTAGGAACATAAAATGTTCCCAATGGAAACGCTGAACTGAAGGCCATGACAAATCCCCAGGTGGTACAGGCCCCGCGATCTGAGGAAAGAGGGCCTTTCTCCAGGACAGCGGGCGGTCAGCCCTGGGGTGCAGCCAAAACTCGGTGGCCTCTCCACCCCGAGTTTCTCCTCGCAGCCCTGGTGCATGCTCAGGCTTTCTGCCCGTCACTGCTCATTTCTCCTCCGAGCTTGACACCGACGCGCCACGGGAACCTTTAGGCGAAGGTAGTTTTTAGATATTCAGAACATGGAGATGGCTAGGCCAGGCCTTTTGTTGGTGACGTTTCCCGTCCACCAGGCAGGGAGCCCCTGGACGGGACTGGCACTAATGCGGAGAGGCAGGAGTTTCAGGCCTGGAAGGAGGCAGTCACCTCTACAGAACTCCTCCTGCTCCCACCCACACCCACGGCCACGCGTGCACCGTCAGGGTCTCAGGGAGGATCAGGTTGGAGGATGTGAGCGACTCCATGCAGGGCGTCGCCCGTAATCAATCACAAACCTTCCTCCGAGGCCAGGCATTCAGTATGTTGGCAGGATAGCTCAGTGGGTCAGGGCGGTGGAACCAGGACCCCTGAGTTCCCATCCTGCCCCCCCCCCCATTGGCTAGCGTTGTGATCTCAGGAAGGTTACGGAACCCCTCTGTGTCTCAGTTTCCTTATCTGTAAGATGGGAATGGTGACCGTACCTGTGGTCTAGGACTGAGTGAGGATAAATGAGTCAATAGACATGGCATGCTTAGAATCATGGCTGGCTGTAGTCTGTGCTCAGTGAACATTAGCTGTTACTATTAGGAGTTTTATCGGGATCCGGGGGTGGGGGGGGAATGGAGACAATGCCCCCTCTTTGTGAATGTCCACTCAGCAGTTTTAGAAGGAACTCAGATGACTTCTGGTTCTGTTTTGCCTTTTTAAATCCCCTCTTCTGTCCTCTCAAACCAAGGCTTACACTACAGCTCTGAAAAACCCCCGCTTCAGCTTTTAAATTTTGATTCAGAATGAGGACCTTTTGGCCTTGATAAGAGGTTCGGATGAGCAGGAGGCTCTGTGTCCCCACAGCCATCTCAACATTCATTTGAGCTGCGGAGCCAGGCTCATGGGCCCTTCTAGCCCAGTTTGTCCACACCCCGTCCCTCCCTCGTCCTTTTATGGAATCAGGGGCACCGGGTCAGGTTTGAGGAGGGACATGGTGTGTGGGAAAGAGGTCTCCTTTACCCCATCAATTCCTTCTCTTCTGCTGTGGGGCCGGCGTCCTGCCGGCTGGCACATAGTTCCTTTGGGCATTAGGGTTAAAGGGGGTGGGGGTTGTAGCTGGTGCGGATGGAGAGGAGCGAGCAGTCTGTTCCCCTCCTCCCACCTCCTTTCCAGGGAAGCCCCAACACCCTCCTCCCACCTGTTACTCGAAATAATTCCCTGTGTTTTATCTGTTCGTCTAGGGGAAGAAGAAGAAGAGGAAAAGGGACAAGCAGCCCGGGGAGACCAATGGTAAGTTAGAATAATGCGGATGCAGGGAGGAGCGGCACCCTTCAGACCACTCTTTTATGTTAG